CAGTCCGGGCTGCGTCTGCTCCTAGTGGGATGTGCCGCAGCGGCAAGGGCAAGGGAGGCAAGGGTGCTGGAGGGGATGGCGGGGGCGGCAGTAGTGGCGGTGGAGGAGGTGGAGGGGGTGGGGGTAAAGGTGGGGGTGGCGGCGGGAGTGGGGGCTTCGGTGGCGGTGGTGGAGGAGGGGCCGGCGGTGGCAGCGGCAGTGGGGGTGGCGGCGGTGGGGGTGCTGGTCAGGGTGGAACTGTGCATCGGGGAGGCCTTGGCTGTGGCCAGCGACAGCAGCAGCCGCGTTTCCGTGAGTGGTACGCTGGGCGTGGGAGGTCTGGGGGTGCTGGTCCCTGCACGTATGTTCTCCGCACCGGCGAGCGCAGTGGGGAGACGTGCGGGCTGCCGCACGCCACGCACGGCTGTTTTGGCCGCCTGACTGACACCTCGCATGCACAGTTTCCTGACGCCACTGAGCTCCCTTGCTGGGGTGATTTGCTTAGGTCGGGGGATGCTATCTTTGATCTTGATTATGATGCTATCCTTGCTGCTATGTATGTTGTGACTATTAATGCTGAGGCCGACTGTTACCTGTGTGTTCCGCCTGACCCGGGCATTGAGGCTGCTGCTCTAGATGCTAGACAGTCTGCTGCTCTAGGTGCTAGTGAATCTGCTGCCTCAGGTTCTGGTGAGTCTGCTCTCTCAGGTTCCGCGTCAGCGTAGGTCCTGCACACTTTCACCCTTGACTCAGGTGCTTCCCGTTCCTTCTCTCGCGACTGCACAACTCTCACGTCGCTCAGTCAGCCAATGGAAGTCTCCCTGGTTAACCCCTATGGGGGTCCAGTCCTTGTGCACTCCTCCACGGTTTTGCCATGTCCGGCGGTCCCGTCTAGCTCCCTGTCGGGACTTCACCTCCCCTCGTCCTCCACAAACTTGGTGAGTGGAGCTGACGTTCAGGACGTGTGGGTTGACCAGTTCACTCCTGGAGGTCAGTGGGTGACCCACTGTACGTGTGTGCTCGGACGGGCCGGCACCTGGCCACGTCTACGCATCAGCCTGGGTCGAGCCTGTACACCCTGACTACCGTGTCTCCTCCAGTTGCTGAGTCTTGTCAGGTAGCCGCGTCTGGTCAGGTGTTTGCTGCAGCGTCCTGGTCTGGTCCTAAGTCTGCCCCCTGCTCGTGTCACCTCCTATCTCACCAGACTCTCCTCTGGTAGCACTGCCTTGGTCACCCCTCCCTGCCTCGTCTCCGAGGCATGGCCTCCCGTGTCCTTGTTGCTGATCTTCCCCGGACTCTCCCTCCCCTTCCCCTGGGGCCTGCCCATACCTACGTTCCTTGCGTCGAGCAGCGGCAGCAAGCCGCTCCTCACTCCTCCGAGTTCCCTCCAATGAAGGCTCCGCGTTCGTGGACAGGGTCACGAGCGCCACAAGGATAAGGTCACTGAGGTGCTGATCGATTGGATCCGTGCTGCCCGTCGCCAGCTCAGCGAGAGTTTTGGCTGAGATCTTCCTGTTCTGCGTCTGCACTCCGACAGAGGTGGAGAGCTTTCCTATGACCTTCTGAGGGCCTTCTATCGTGTGGAGGGCATCTGCCAGACGTTCACGCTTCCGACCTCTCAACAGCAAAATGGGATTGCTGAGCGCCGCATTGGCATGGTCATGGACGTCGCTCGTACGTCCATGATCCATGCGGCTGCTCCCCATTTTCTTGTTTCTAAGTTTGCGTCTGTATGTCCTCCGTCCGTCGGGGGTGAGTGTGCTCTTAACACGGACGTCCTTGAGGACAGTCAGGAAGACTTCCTGTGCATTGCTGCTGCTTTACCTCATCTCGTGTCCATGCTGCTTGCCCCTGAGGGAGACCCGGATGCACCAGACATCCCGACTCCGCGCTCTTACACAGAGGCGATAGAGGGTCCCTACTCCTCTCAGTGGCAGACAGCCATGGACGTAGAGATGGCTTCCTGGAAGTCCACAGGCACTTACCCTGACGACGTTCCCCCACCTGGGGCGAACATTGTCGATGGCATGTGGATTTTCAAGGTGAAGCAGGCGACGGGTTCTCCGCCTGTCTTCAAGGCGCGTTACGTTGCACGAGGCTTCAGTCCGCGATAGGGAGTTGACTTCTTCCAGACCTTTTCCTCGACCCCAAAGATGACCACTCTTTGGGAGCTGCTGCACGTCGCCGCTCAGTGTGACTACGAGCTTCACTCTCTTGACTTAAGCACAGCCTTCTTACAGGGCAGCCTGCACGAGGAGATCTGGCTGCGCCGCCCACTTGGCTTCACTAGGTCGTTTCCTCCTGGTACCCAGTGAAGCCTCCGTCGGCCAGTCTACGGTCTCCGCCAGGTGCCCCGTGAATGGCACAACACACTGAGGACTACCCTTGTGGCTCCTGAGTTTGCTCCTTCCACTGCTAACCCGTCGCTGTTTCTACGCACCGATACTAATCTGCCGCCGTTCTACATCCTCGTGCGTCGACGACTTGGTCTTTGCTACTGCTGACACTGCTGGACTGGCCCATGTGAGGTCGGAGCTGCAGAAGAGACACACGTGCACAGACCTGGGTGAGCTGCGCAGCTATCTTGGCTTGCAGATCACCCAGGACAGAGCACGGCGCACCATTACCCTCACTCAGTCACACATGGTGCAGCAGGTTCTTCAGCGCTTCAACTTCACGTACTCCTCGCCTCTGTCTACTCGCCACTGGCTCTCATCTCTGCCTTTGGATGAGTCCGTAGAGCCGAGTGGCCCGTACCCAGAGCTTGTGGGCTGCCTCATGTACCTGATAACCTGCACTCGACCTGACCTGGCAAACCCTTTTAGCATCTTGGCACGCTATGTTGCTCCTGGGAGACACAGGAAGGAGCACATGGATGCAGCGAAGAGGGTGTTGCGCTAATGTGCAGTACGTCGGGCATGGGGCTCGTGCTTGGAGGACGGGCTCAAGTTGTCCTCACTGGTCACACAGACGCTTCTTGGGTTGACGACTTGGCTACACAGCGGTCGTCACAGGGTTACACCTTCAGCCTTGGTTCAGGCTTCGTTTCGTGGCGATCTACGTGCTCGTCTTCTGTTCTCAGCTCTAGTTGTGAGGCTCAGATCTACGCAAGAGCCATGGTTGTACAGGAGTTACGCTGGCTCACCTACCTGCTGACCGACTTGGGAGAGCCGCCTTGTTCTCCTCCAATTGTGTACGTCGACAACAAGGCCATGTGTGCCTTGTGTTAGGAGCACAGTCTGGAGCACAGAACGAAGCACATTGCTCTGCGCTACTTCCATGCTTAAGAGTTGCAGCAGCGTGGTCATCTTCATCTTGCTTACGTGGCCACTCGGGCAAAACACTGCTGATATCTTTACCAAGGCACTTCACCCTTGTGATCATCAGCGTGTGTGTACTATGTTAGGTCTTGTGCCTACCTGGCCTCACTTGCTCACCTCTTGACCTTGCCTGTACTGTGATCTAAATATATCTGCACTTGCATGCTTACACTTGTTAGGTTGAGATCACTGTATTGTTTGTTTGCCTTTATATAACTCTGCATGTGAACTGGCCTTGTGGCCATTTGCTTGTGCACAGAATGCGTGGTGATGTCGTGATCCACCCTGAGCTTGACATTGCCTTGTTCTCTTGCTTGTCCCCCACTGTGCTTATGGGGGTGTGATAGAACTATACTCTAGGCTGTAGTGGGGCACTCATTATGGGGTACAGCCCTGTTAGGTTTTGCCTATACAACCTTGTACTGTTCTCATTCTAGTCATTGTCATTTGTTACTTTGTGACAATTACAATCCTACAGTCGTCGTCTTATTTGGCAGAACACTCATATGATTTATGCAGTATAAAAACGACCACCATGTGGAAAACGTAAACATTGAAGCTAAGAGAGAGGCGGTTCTGAGCCCCATTTGAGTTGACCAATAAACGCCACCGTGCAGTACTTGTTACAACTACAAGTTCGCCTGGTAGTTATGGTACTTTTAAGCATTTGCTCTTCAATGTCTACAAATCTATTATGTACTACTAGGTTATTTTGTGGTGAACGTGGTCTGGCTGAATAGTTGCAAATATCAAACGTCATGCGATGAAGAGGTGCTCGATGTCAAAGTTATATCATGTTTGCTGTAGCCATCGTACTTAATGTCATAAGGTTTTTAATTTTGTGGCCCTATTGCGTTATAAATACGAGTTCACACACAGCTTTTTAAGCAAAAGATAAGGTGGTGAATCTGTACATTTCAGGCGGTTGTATAGTTCACATTACCGTTTCTATCCCGAGGCTTAGTTAAAACGGCAAGATATGATACAACTGTGGCGTAAGATTCTGCATGTAGTCCCCACATTCTATTCGAAAAAAACACACTAAACGCAAAACGAGTACCATTTTCGGAACATGTGCCTTCGTGCGCGAATCGTACTCCCCCTAGTACGAAACATGTTGCGCGCTATACTTCCTCAACTATTCATGTTCCTCCAAGCAGGTGCACAACTATCGAGCCTCTCCCACAGTACAATACATGATTCATCATGTACAGTTTCACGGTCACCTACTTAGCTGTTCGAATCATGACAGCTCGAGCTGCGATCATGACGCGAGCTGCAGCGGGGCACGCTATGACCACATTAGGGTACATGATTTGTCATGACTAGTTTCGGAGTGAACAACTTAGCCCCGCGCTTGATTGTTGTACGAGACATGACAGTTCGAGAAGCGATCATGACTCGATCTGCAGCGGCACAGAAGCTACAAGTAAACAGTACACCTGCATCGGGTATCCACCAGGACTAATGTGTATGTGATTTTTTGTTAAACCACTTACAAAACCCGGATGTTTCCAGTGCACCTCACATTAACTCTGCGAGTTACTGTTGTGCCTAGGACTCAAAATATCCTATCCTGTTTCCATATATCATCCACTAGTCGCAGCACAGAAAAACCTGCTTCGGTGAGTGTTCTGAGCACATTCAACATAAAAAACCAGGACACAACACTCGCAAGGGAAAGCCAGATGTACTCGCAATTCATTCGGGGGCAGCTTGGTCCTCCCCGCGCTGCTCACCCGCAGCAGGTTCCTCCTCCTCACCCTCCTCCTCCTCCTCCTCCTCCTCCTCCTCCTCCTCCTCCTCCTCCTCCTCCTCCTCCTCCTCCTCCCCCTCCTCCTCCTCTTCCTCCTCCTCCCCCACTGCAGCCTGTGCCTGACCGTACCTACCATAATTGAACTAGCACCTTTTGCGGTTGTGCCTGTACTGTCGGCATCGCCCACACCGATAGGCGTGCGGCACTGCCTCAAACCGGGTGTGATTCTCTAGCCTCCCAACCCTCGTCTCGATCAGGGCTGGTGCATCACACACGCCCTCTGCTGCCTTTGGAGCCTCTATTACCATACGGTCAACACAAGCTACCAACACATCCCGGTTATATGTCTGGCAAAGATTGCGCGTGGTGTAGTACTCAGGCACCAAGATCTCCACACTCCGCTTCTTTAGAATACACATGGCCACGGCGTGGGCACATGGGAACTGGTACTCCTCCCAGTTCTCACCCTCGCAAGTCCGGGCGTCGAGGTTCACGTTGAAGCTTCGCCACTGGGACTCGTTCTCCCCCAACCCTGGTCTGGATGGTTCCCACCGTGTTGTTCCCACCGATGAACCAATACCCCTGGCACCTCAGCTTCTTTTGATCAAGACGCTTCGATGCGACCAACGTGAGATACTCATCCCTCCAACGCCCTTCTTCTGCCTCTCTTACCACTTGTCGCGAGAGCAATCCCAAAGCGATGCAAGGAGCCATGTGGGTGGCAGCATGCGGATGCCGTAGACAGCGCTGTTGGACTCAGTGGCGTTGCTTGTGTAGATACCAACCCGCAGCGTCACCGCAAAAAGACGGGCCCAGTGCAGCAGCATGATCCCTCCAATGCGATAGGATGATGCGTGCCTGTTACGATAGAACCCGGTGCGCACATGTATGCCGGGTTCTCCCTCTCCATCGTCCGCCCCATCTGCATCCTCCCCGGCATCCTCTGGTACCGGATCCTCCTCACATGCAGGCTCGTCCGGCCCTTGCGCACGACTGTTGCCTCGCTGCCCGCAGTCTGGCCATGGCAGAGCGAGAGCCGATGCAGGGTGGAAATGCTCAGCATACCCACCCATCTCTTCACCGCGAGTGCTCGTGGTCCTCCCCGTGTCAATGTCCTCTGCCCGGTACCACTCCCAGGCACGACGTAGGACCGAGTTGACGTCAAATGCCCATGCACAGGGGTTCCCCACAGTGGTGAGTGCGCCAATGCCATAACCTGTGGAGCTGGTGTATAATTCCACTACTATAGCAGCTTGATAGAGCTTGAATGCACAATTCCAATGCACCAAAGATTGCAGAAAACGGTCCACGATAGCCAGAGATACACACAAACATAGCAGTGATAATGACTTGGTTGATTTCTGGTTTGTGCTTTCTGGTTTTATACTAGAACGCAATTAAAAAAAAAAAAAGCACACAAGAAAGTGTCGACCCGGGTCGCACGTTGAATTTCGTCGACGCAAAATTCGGAGCCTTGAATTTCGCCGAGCGAATTCCATTGACTGGAATTTCGTAGACGAGAATTTCCGCGACAAGAATTCCGTCGACCACCGACTGTAACTCCCGTGCGAATTCCGTTGACTTCGACACTTCGCTGCCGAGTTTCAAACCGAACGTGACCCGAGATCGATTTCGCCAAACTGTCCCCAATCTGTCCCCAAACTGTCCCCAATCTGTCCTGACAAGACACTTTCGGGACACTTGAATCGAAAGGTCTCCAGTTCAAAACTCGTGTGCACCATAACCAGCGCCTTTGAAGAAACTGTCCTGAATCTGTCCTGAGACACCTTCGGGACAGATTTGAAGGTCACGAGTTCGAATCCCAGCGCAGACAATTTGTTGCTCATGGCAGCATTTCCTTCTAACGCGCCCCCTTGCTGTCAGGAGCACGCTGGACCAGCCCGGCTGCTGCACAGCATCGGTTGAAGGATGCCTTGTCGAGCCGCTTCGTGAAGAAGTCCGCGGGCTGCGCCGTCGTAGGGATGTGCTGCACCTCCAACTTCTTCATACGCACCATGTCCTATAGCCATATGCGGCAACGGTCCACATGCTTCATGCGCCCTTGCGGCCCGGCTGAGCTGCACCGCTGACATGTTGTCGACGTACAGTGTGGAGGGGACACCCTTCTTGAGCAGTTGAAACTCCCACAGCAGGAACCTTAGCTTGCGCCCCACCTTTCTCGCTTCCACCGCATCCACAAGCTCGCTCTCGGTGGAGGAAAGTTTGGTCGCACCCTGCAGCTTCTTGGCCTCCCATGAAATGGCAGCCCCGCCAAGCTTGAAGAGGTAGCCTACCGTGGACGACCGGTTCTTCTTGTCGCCTGCATCATCCGCATCTGCATACCCTACGAGAGTCAAACTTTCTGGTCCTCCCTTGAACAGCAGCCCCTTGTCCGGTGAGGCAGCCTAGTAGGAGAGTGTGCGGAAGAGCTCATGCCAATGCGCATCGGTCCTGAGGTGTGCACCTGCTGCAAGGCGACTGCATGCAAAAGAGAGGTCAGGACGGGTTGAGATGGCTGCAAACTGCACCATGCCGAGAATTGACAAGCACTCGGACATGGTACGGTTGGCAAACGGCCCAGCGCCCTGCTTGGCAAATCTGGCAGATGAGAGAGGAGTGATCAGCTGCTTCTTTGGTGGCGACCCCTTGAAGAACAGCTGCTGCACCTTCACCACGCACGCATGCTGGTGCAGGAAGAGTGTCCTGTTGGGGCGATCTTGCACAATCTGCAGCCCAGGTAGCGCTCCACTGGCTCCACCTCACGGAGCTGAAATGCCTTGGCCAGCAGCCCCTTCAGGTCCTACAGCAGCTGCTGGTCTTCACTTGCCACTAGCAGGTCATCCACGTAGATTAGCAGCCACACGCGCTTCTCGCTCGCCCCATCCTTGTAGGATAGGGCCTGGTCCACAATGCTCCTCCTGTACCCCCCCACAAGGAGCACTTTGTCCAGCTCCTTGTACCACAAAAGGGGCTCTGCTATAGCCCGTAAAGGCTCTTCTGCAAGAGGCACACCTTGCTGCTACCGTCGGTGAAGTAGGGCGGCTGCTGCATGTAGATCTCGTGGTCGATGGTGCCGTGAAGAAGTGCATTCTTCACATCAAGCTGCAGCAAATCCAGGTCCATAGCTGCTACGATTGAGAGGAGCACGCGAACGGTGGTGTAGCTGCCAACAAGAGCGTAAGTGTCGTCGTAGTCGATGCCGAATCGCTGGCTAAAGCCCTTAGCCACGAGCCTGGCCTTGTACTTCTCCACGGTGCCATCAGGCCGCAGCTTCTTCTTCAGCAGCCACTTGACGCCGACGGTTTTGCGACCTTCAGGTAGGTCAGCCAACGTCCAAGTGCCGTGCTTATCGAGGCTCTCCATCTCCTCCTTCATAGCAGCCCACCATTCCTTGCATTCAGGTCTGGTCAACGCAGCTGCCAGGTCGAGGATGACACCTCCCCAAGCGCCTTCCTCCTCATCCTCGTCCGGGTACTCCACTTCATCATCGCTGTCCGTGTCGCACTCATCCTCAGCAAGGTACGCCACGTCGTACGGGTTGTCCTCATCATCTGCATCCAGGGCCGTCATGGCTGATGGCTGAAACCGTACAGGTGGCACCCCCTTGTTAGGCCTGCTGGAGCGACGTGGGGGTGGTGGAATGGGCTGGAGGGGGGGAACTGGAGGTGAAGGCTCATGCTCATGGGCCATTAGTGACTGCTCATCCACTACTACTTCTTCTTCTGCGTCCTCGTGTTCTCCCATGCTGGTGTCAACCTCCAGAGGACCATCCTCTGGTCTTACGGGTGCCAAATCAGCAACAGAGGGTGGACCAAGAGGAGGAGGTGCAGTAGGTGCCTTGCTGCCCAAAGGGATCAAGGGGTTTCTCGCCCCCTTGCACGGACGGTACCGGGACCACGATGACGGTACGTGGTGGCACCGAATTCGGCTCGGGGTCGTGGGGCTCAGGGAAGAGAGATGGGACTAAAGCAAAGGGTGGTGTGGGCTGGTCGTTACTGTCACCCACGCGTGCACGCCACTTCTGCCACCGTTCAAGTGACATGTCCTCATAAAAACGTGCATCCCGGGTGATGACCATGCGCTTTGACTCAACATCCACCACACGCCATCCCTTACTTTCCATGCTCATGCCCAAATGCATGCCCCAACGAGTCTTGCTTGCAAGCTTCCCGAACTATGCACCCGAACACACGAACCATGGACACGTCGGGCTTGACTTTGAACACCACCAAATGAGGGGTCACACCATGGGGCACGGTGGATTGGTGCACACGGTTTACCACCCACAAGAATTGCTGGAAAGCGAAGTGCCACCAGTGTCCTTTCACCCCCATGTGCCCCAACATCACACACATGCCCTCGGTTACCGTACGGTTGTGGCGTTCAGCCACACCAATCTGGTGGGGGGTCGAGAGGCAGAAAAGTTGACGTAAAATTCCTCGTTGCTTCAGCAGCAACAGAAACTCATTCGAAATAAACTCCCCTCCCCAGTCCGACCGCGACACCTTCAGCGTCATCCCGGTTTGGCGTTCAGCTTTGGGAAGCCATTCCTTGAAGGCAGCAAGCGCGTCGCTCTTCAGCTTCAACGTCTTCCCCCAGGTGTAACGTGAGGCGTGATCGGCAAAAAGAATGTAGTACCTGCTTCCATCCATGGCTAGGTTCTGAAATGGACCGCACACGTCAGAATGGACCAGCCCAAGTACCTCTCACTCGTCGTGCAGCGGAAATGATTCACGAGTCAGTTTGGCTTCATGGCAGGAGGTGCACGGCATATCCTCACCTCCTTTCTCCAGGTCCATACCGAACACGCCACTGCTCGTGGCTGTCCGCTTCACCGCATCGAAGTGGACGTGTCCAAGGCGAGCATGCCACAGGTTGGGCGTTGCCTTGGAGCCCACCGCATACGTCTTGAGGCTGGCCGCTCCATCTTTAGCTCCCGGCTTGCTTGAAGCCACATCAGCAATCTCCTTCGCTGTGCCGTTGCTTGCTGTTGCAGCCCCTGTGTCGTTGCTCGCCGCTCCACCCGCCATATCGGTGCATGCCGCTGCAGCCGCCGTGCCGTTGCATGCCGCTGCAGCCGTTGCACCGTTCCTTGCTGGCCCCGGTTTCAGGTCAAGGCAGTGAAGGCGATGGCGGTATCATGCCGTTGCAGCCACTTGATCTCCTGATGCGATGATGCAAGTGACACCTTCCTCGGTTTGCAGCTTTGCTCCCTTGTCCAAGAGCTTCCCATGAGAGACCAAGTTGGCCTTCATTCCCGGCACAAAGAGGACATCATGTAGGGTCACACGCAAGCCGTTAGTGCCCTCTAGCAAAACCTCACCAACACCGGCAACTTCCTGCATAGAACCATAAAACCCTTTGACTGATTTCGTTGCAAATGGGTCATGGATCACCGTGAACCACTCCTTGCAGCCGGTCATGTGTTGGGAGCATCCTGAGTCAAGGAACCACAAGTCCTTGTCGTTGGCCAGCAACTTTGCAGCCGAACACACAACGGTGAGCGCCACGCCCTTCCCGTCTCCTTCAGCTACGTTCGCAGCTGCCGTGGGCGTTGTATCTTTCTTCTTGTTGGGGCACTTGGCAGCCATGTGCCCCACCTCATTGCAGTTGTAGCAGCGCCCCTTGAAGGGGGCTCGCTTCTTCTCCCGCTTGCCATCCTTCTTCTTGTCCGTTTTCTCCCTTCCCCTTTTCTTTCCTTCCCGTTGACCCCCGTTGTAGCCACAATGGTGTTGACAGCGCCCGAGAAAGTAGATGCATTGCTGGTGATCTGCTTGTAACTCTGTTCGATAAAGAGAGTCTGCTCCTCCATCAACACCTCGCTGCACACGCGTTCCGCCGTTATGTTAGGGCTGGAAATTTCGAGCTTGCGGCGAAGAAATCCGCACTCCGGTGGTAGGCCCTTCAGCACGTGGGCGGCAAACGTGGCCATGTGGACCTCCTCCCCAATGGTCAGCAGCTCCGCTCGGATGGTGCGGGCCCTATTGCAGTAGGATTCCGCCGTCTCATCATCTCCTTTCCTGAGTTGGGCTAACTGGGTATGAAGTAGGGAAGCGTGGAGGGCATCACGAACTTGATAAGTAGACAAGATATATGCTGATGCTAGCTGCCCGGGTTTCTCTTGCTGAGAGAAACCAGAGATGGACATTCCGATGGGTCGAGAAACACATCGGTTCATCACCATGAATGCAAGTATTTGGCCCTTTGCGTACTCCCTTCGTTGCAAGGGGCTGTTCGGCGCCGGGCTTGGTGCTGTCCCATTGCAAAACTGCCACAAATCAGCACACTGGAGCTGAGGTCGGATGGCGCTGACCGAAGCGGTAAGGTCGTGCCTTCCCTCCAGTAGCAGCGTCACCGAGATGTGTTCAACTGCAAACTTGAATTGACTGTAGCTCGTTCCGATCAATCCCGCGTCAGTGGTCGGTGCAACAACTCATCCGCTAATGCCCACGGCAAATGGAGCTGCGAGCACAGCTCCTCCATACCAGTTCCTCCTTGCTGGCCGCTCGCAGGTGCTTGCTCCGCCGCGCGCTCCTGAACCATGCGTAGTAGATGGCCGTCCACAATGAGGTCTACCTCCTCATCACGCAAGAGAGGGTGGTGCTCACGAATGGACGCCTCCAGCTCCTGATGGTCATTAAGACCTTAGTGCTCGATAACCACTCCATGCGGAGTCAAAACGAGCGTCAGCCACACCAATGTGGGAACGAAGTATTGGGAGGATGAAATCAAGCCGCTAGTTGGATAGACGCAGATAACGCAGCTCTGATACCATGTAGAATTCCACTACTATAGCAGCTTGATAGAGCTTGAATGCACGATTCTCATGCACCAAAGATTGCTGGAAACGGTCCACTATAGCCAGAGATACACACAAACATAGCAGTGATAATGACTTGGTTGATTTCTGGTTTGTGCTCTCTAGTTTTATACTAGGACGCAATACAAAATTAAAGCACACAAGAAAGTGTCGACCCGGGTCGCACGTTGAATTTTATCGACGCGGAATTCGGAGCCTTGAATTTCGCCGAGCGAATTCCATTGACTGGAATTCCGTAGACGAGAATTTCCGCGACAAGAATTCCGTCGACCACCGACTGTAACTCCCGTGCGAATTCCGTTGACTTCGACACTTCGCTGCCGAGTTTCAAACCGAACGTGACCCGAGATCGATTTCGCCAAACTGTCCCCAATCTGTCCCCAAATTGTCCCCAATCTGTCCTGACAAGACCCTTTCAGGACACTTGAATCAAAAGGTCTCCAGTTTGAAACTCGTGTGCACCATAACCAGCCCCTTAGAAGAAATTGTCCTGAATCTGTCCTGAGACACTTTCAGGACAGATTTGAAGGTCACGAGTTCGAATCCTAGCGCAGACATTTTGTTGCTCATGGCAGCATTTCCTTCTAACACCAAGAGGCTAAACCATCATCACTCCCAGATGCTGGAGCACGCCGCACATCGTCCCCAGCGGGCCCTGGTGAGGACCCCCTTCCAACGGACCCCACCCCGCCCCTGAAATCCGCGCCTAGGCCATACCCGGATCCCACACCAAACCTAACATCACCGCGTCGCCCTCTTTGGTCTAGCCTGGGTCCAGCATTCTGAGGACTGGATCCTGACCCTACCACCTTGTCGCTCATAGCGTAAACACTATCTCTTGCTCCTGCGCCGAATAGCGGCTCCCCTCCATTCGCACTCCCAATGCTGGACCATCCTGCTCCGGCACCCCCCTTCCCTCCAGGAGCCCCACCAAGCGGGACTCCCCTCCCTCCACCTCCAATGCCGGACCATCCTTCACCGACACCCCCCTGCTCCCTGGTGGCCCCACGGAGCGGCACTCCCCTTCCTCCATCACCAACCCCAGTAAATTCTGGTCCGCCACCCCCCTACTCTCCACAATCGCCCCCAAGGGGCACTCCCCTACCTCCCCTGCCAAGACCCGTCCCTGCAACGCCACCGCCTCTCCCTCTGCGACCACGTCTAGATGAAGCAAAGCCTCGACCACGCCCTCCACGGCCGATGCCAAAACCAACCCCTACGCCATCCCCTTTGTCAGGAATCCCTGATGGGACTCCAATACCCTTGTGCGCTCTGGCACGTCTTCCCGGTGCGTTCATCCCACCCCTGCCAGCTAGACCACCACCACGCCTGTCGTACGTGGACGTGTTGCCCTCCGGGAACCCACTCCTGACGGGTTGGGATGCGGCCCCGACAAGCGCAACCCATTTCGTTTCACAACGACACTTCACCAGGTGCCAGAAGAACGCCGTTGCCGCTTTGCCGAACTGCTTAAGGTTTTGCTCCAGATGTCAGGCACAAAAATAATGTGGGATGTGGCTTGGCATCACCTCCCTTGCTGCCGGCACCAACCCCTTATCGCGGTCGCTGATGATGGATGCATTGTCCCTCTGCCCCCACTCCGGGAAACCCTCAAGGAACAGCTTGAGAAACCAGGTCCAAGCGTCCATGTTCTCTGACTCCACCAAGGCCCATGCAAGTAACCAAATTTCCTGGTTTTTGTCAATGGTGACGGCGATGAGCAGCACAGCCTTTTGCGCACTAATGAGATGTGTGCCGTTGAGCGCAACGACAGGGCGGCAATAATTTAACGCATGCCGTGCTGCAGAGGGATGCACATAGAATTGGTGAAAACACCCTCCTAATGTGTCCAACCGCACTTGAACTTCCGCATCGATGACAGTGAAACGATTGAGAAGCCATGGAACCTAGCAAAACGACTCCTTCCAATATCCATAACGCTCTTTTAAGATGTACTCTCGAAGCCGCCAAGCCTGCTAGTAATGGATCACTACGTTCCCATGACCCTCGAGCATTCTCTTGAGCTCCACGGGTGAGATGAATGGATTTGCGCGGACCAAATTGCCGAATCGCTGAGACAAGATGGGAAGAGTGTTGGCTAACCCCTCGGCGTAACCCTGCCTCCAATCCAATGGACATTTATGCATCTCCGGAGGAACCAGGCGAGTAATGCGCCATAGGCCACCGTGGCCGATTTGGCCGTATGCGCAGATCCATAGGCACGCCGGTAAATAGCCGTCCGATGTGGCCTCACACCCAACCACTGCATAGTTATGCTTGACCAAAAGGACTTATACACCAAACCGGTGCTCTAGTGCGTATGCATAAACGGCCTCCTTGCATTTATCACAGCTAGAATACAGGCCCTCCAGCTCCAATGGCGCGTAATTGTTAGGCCCGTCATACCTAGGGTTGAACTCGGGAGCCGCATTAAGCTGTCGCAAGGCCTGCGCTAAGGGATTGGAGGCCATACGCAGGCGTTAGACACTACATGGTGAAGAGTCTTGTCAGATAGTAGATAGGACAATTAAATGGAGTACTAATGCCAACCCAGATATTAGTGTCGCTAAGCCTAAACGTATGACTGCGTTCAGTGTCTAGCAGGTACCCAAAAATGGGAACCAGAGCTAACAGACACACAGACAGGATGCTAATGCTCGGGCTCATGAACCATTGAAGTTCACGATCGCTTGGATCATGAGTCCATGTTGGCGGGCAATGACATGGGCAAATCCCAAAAGACCCGATACAATCAACCTGCATATAAGCCTCGCGAGTTCCAAATCCAGGCCCTGAAATTATCGAAAGATTGTTGGGAAATATGATGTGGCATCCCACATGAACTTGAACGCTATGGCATGAGGGTGGTTGGCTGTTTTTCGTGACTGGTTGTGGCACTTCCGAAGTTCACGCGAGTGGACACGGCTGCCAGAATTTTGGAGTAGAAGGGCGGGAAAAACGGGATGAGGGGCCGGGGAGAAAGGCGGTCCATTCAATTCAGAAAAACACCGACATGGCGGGGGGTGGGCAATTTGAGTCGATTCTTTTGAGAGAAATGCGATTTGCACCGATGCGCGCGATTTCGCCGCTTGCGAGCCTGCGAGGCCCGGCCCGGGCCTCCGAGGCTTGGTCGGCCTCACCAAGAGCGCACCAAAGAACACGCGCCCGAATTACCCGTTAATGCGGGGGAACCGGAAAAAGGCACCCTGCGAGCCACACCCCTAGAATCTCTCTGTGTATATTTCGTGCTTCGGTTCTCCGTGCTGTTTCCTTGAAATAAAAATCCAAACAAATACCCTTTCACGCTGGAGAAGAACACTTGGGATAAGCACACATAACAGCCCGCGAGACACTAGTAACTACGTTAAGATACACCTCCCGCATTCTTTCTTGCACCCACTCCATAGCTTGGTGTTTGTATTTTTGGTGTGTGCGTTTTTATACAAAAACAGGGTTAAACAGCGGAGTTAAACAAAACGTTCGAAAGAGGATGCGCGATGTTACAGTTCGAGTGAGTGCTATCGGGTGGACGCGTGGCACCCGTCCGACTTACTCCTGGGCCGACGGGCGTTGGGATGCTCAGCTCGAGGAAGGGGGCAGGAGGGCAAAAGGAGGTATAGGAGGCCCTCCTAGTCTCATTTTTGTGTTTTGTTTTGCGTTTCCATTGCGTTTCTTCACTCTTTTGTCATCCCTCTCGGTCGGCTCTTGGCGCAAACCTTTATCTATATCTCTGCTTTCGACGCTGTTGGAAGGTATGCGTTCACGCTAGGACTGTTTATTTGAGAACCGTTATGCACGGCTGGATTGTTTCACGCGAGTGGTCGGCCGCGGAATCGTTGGCAGGTATGTCCGACTTGCTTCGTTCTTGCTTCTGCCTCATCAGTTTCCGCTGCGTGTCTTCATAAACTCTTGTTTCGGAAATCGCGATTGCTTTTCACTACTGGTTTCTTGCGATCGTTACCGCGTGCGGTTTTCTTACGTGCCCAACATCCATCCGTTTCCGCATCTTTCCGCGAGCCCGTGTTCTTCTGTTGTTTTCCTACGTTTCCGTTTCCGCGTGTGGCGATTTCTATCGTGTTTCCGCGTGGCCCCGGCTGCGTGCTGCTTTTCCGAGGAATGTGTTTTCGCGTGTGTATACCCTGATGATGTTTCCCGCATTTTCGCATCGAGTACCCATTTTGCGCGTGCAGGATGCTTTGCAAACGAAGGAATCTCATGGATTCCATGGAATCTCTAAAGGGTCAAGACGTTGTTATCGTAGCCGGTGGAGCAACTGTTCGTCTCGCAGGCAAGAACAAGGACATCTTGATCAAAGAGGACTTCGACTTTTCCGAGCCGTGCCTCGATTTCGCTTGCCTGTATGTGCAACCTGATGTATTTTTTTCCGCGCGTTTGTTTCGCGTCCCCGTGGATGGTACGCTCTTGCTGTGCATTTCCGCGGAGTCCTGTCGTGGTCCTGCTCTTCGCGCCTCACAAAATCTGTTTCCACTACGTTTTTTCGCAGGACCTCACCCAGGTTAACGATCCGAACGCCAAGTCTAGCATGATCATCGTCTACGGGTTTCAACGCGTGCTACAAGATTTTGATTTTGCGCCGAGGAACCGTTTGGATGAAGTCCCTGAAGTCTCTGAGGGACAGGATCGTCAAGCACGCGTGTGATCTGGCCGTCGAAATCGTTTTAGCAGAGCCCGCGGTGCACAGAATGGCTGGCGCTCGCTCAACGACGCTACACGCGGCCGTTGTGGACAGCGCTGCCGGTACAGTTGCGGAGGCTGTCAAGGAAAACCCACCCGCGAATAAGACACCCGATGGTGACAACGCGGAAAGAGTCTTGGAGACTGCGGGTGATTCATCCGCGGGAATCAACAGGAAGGTCGATGACGCGGCAAACAAAAAGGAGATTGCTGCGCCAACTGCGGGAAAGAACATCGCAGCTGACGGCGTGGACAAGGCCAGTCCACCCCGCGCAACCGAAAATCAGACGGAGGTTGCCAGCCGTGCTAGTGGCAGCGGTGGAAAATGGCCGAACAACCCCGACAACCGCTCCGTTGAACAGCTCTCCAAGCTGCCGGCGCTTACGCTTGTGCACGAGGTGATGCGTCTCGAAGCCGACGTCCGTCGGCTGAAGGAGTTGGCCAAGACGTAGGAAAGGCAGTTGGCACAATAGCGGGAGACGTTGTCGGAGATGATGGGCAGCGCGGACGAGACCCAAGCCAGTTTTGAAAGGGCATTGAGGACCATGAACCGCCTTGTGACCCACGTCGAAGAATCAGATAAGAGAGAATGCAAGGATGTTGCTAACGCAGTCCAGGAGATACGCGTGGAGAGGGCGAACACGACCTCGCAAAGGGAGACGGTGGCGCTCATACGTGCACGCGTTGAGGCTGCAGTGGTGGAGTTGAAGTTCATGATATTTTCCGCGATCAACACTACCGCGGAGCGGACCCGCGCAGAGGTTTGGCAGAAGCTCGTCGGCTTAGAAAACTCTTAGCGAACGCGACAGAGCATGGTGCGAGCGCGGGGGCTATGATACTGAGGACCGTGATGGGATCCTTCGCGGGTAACTCTGGGCCTACTGCCGGCCCCGAGCAGCCTGCGGGTCGGATTCCCACACCCAGAGCTGGTCCAGCGGCTGACACGAACCTCCCGCTGATCCTATCAGGAGGTGGTGAGTCTGCGCGTCAGGAGAAGTGCACTGTACCGCAGGGTGCCGAAGGCGAGGCTTGGTACCACGCGAAGAGATTGAAGGCTGCGGGAAAAGATTCCTCTACCGCGGGTGCTGCTGTGAAGGACGGTGGAGTTGCGGCTGCAAGGCTGGCCTTTGCAGAGGGCAAGAACGAGGGCATAGTAGAAATTTCAGACGACGAGGATGCGGAAGCAATGGACTCGCGAAAAAGTTTTTTTGCGGCTTGCGCGGCGGCGAAAGCAGCTGGTCGTGGGAGTGCAAAGGCCAAGGACCTGAAGGAGCAGCTGTGCATCGGGAAGTGTGAAAACTGAAACGAGAATGAATGAACTATGAATGAGGTGAGTACAAATAGGAAACCCTAATTGGGTTGTACCCCCTATGGGATACCCCACTATAGCCTACACAATAGCATAAGCTATAAAGTTCTGACACACCCCCATAGGCAAAGTGGGGGAGAACAAGGGGTCACAAGACCAGTCAAGCAAAGCAAAGCAAAGCTCAGGGTGGATCACAAAGTCACCACACATTCTGAGCACAAGTTCAAGGCCAGAAGACCAGTTCACATGCAGGAGCATGTATATATATAAGAGGCTAAGTAAGCAAGAGCAAGAGTATAAATATATGACAGTACAAGCAAGGTCAAGAAGTGAGCAAGTGAGGCAAGACAGGAACAAGTCCAAGCCGAGTACAAAACCGCTGATGATCACAAGGCGCAAGTGCCTTGGTGAAAACATCAGCAGTGTTGGCCTCAGAGGCCACGTACGTAAGCCGCAACTGACCACGCTGCTGTAGCTCACGAGCAAGGAAGTAGCGGAGAGCAATGTGCTTCGTTATGTGCTCCAGTCGCTGCTCTCGACACAAGGCGAGCATGGCCTTGTTGTCTACGTACAGAACTGGAGGAGAACGAGGCGGCTCTCCAAGTTTGGTCAGCAGGTAGGTGAGCCAGCAAAGCTCCTGTGCAG